GCTGGGAATCTGAAGCAACACAAAAGAATAAATATGAGAAAAAAACCTTACATATGTGACAATTGTGATGCATCATGTTTTTTTTTTTTTTTACACCTCCAGTCTAAAAGTACACAGAATAATACATAATCTGGGAATTGTCTGCTAGAACCAGGACTAAGGTTGTTGCTGAGATAATTGAGGCCAGGACTAAGGTTTTTGCTGAGATAATTGAGGCCAGGACTAAGGTTTTTGCTGAGATAATTGAGGCCAGGACTAAGGTTTTTGCTGAGATAATTGAGGCCAGGACTAAGGTTGTTGCTGAGATAATTGAGGCCAGGACTAAGGTTGTTGCTGAGATAATTGAGGCCAGGACTAATGTTGCTGAGATAATTGATGCCAGGACTAAGGTTGTTGCTGAGATAATGAGATAATTGAGGCCAGGACTAAGGTTGTTTCTGGGATGATTGAGGCCAGAATTAAGCTTGTTTCTGAGATCATTGAGGCTAGGACTAAGCTTGTTTCTGAGATAATTGAGGCCAGGACTAAAATTGTTTCTGAGATAATTGAGGCCAGGACTAAGATTGTTTCTGGTTGAATTAATTTGTTTATGAGCGTGAAGACGTGTTTGCGGCGACACACGATTTTATTCTAAAATTTTCACTTAATCGGTGTTTTTCTCTTGATAACAGAGTGCGATTATTACTAATTCATTGACGATGGATATTCTCTTGTTCGTGGATACAAGTATTATGTGGTTTAGGGGTCTTATAACGGAATTATTTCTACACAATAGCCACGGCGGCGGCCGTGTCCTAATTCTGATAATGTAACCGCGTAGGAGCCACGCTCCCATTATAAACATGGGAGTCCACGGGTAAGACCCCAGTCTACTCTAGCAAAACAAGGTGCTGAAGTCGGAGGCAACCAGCCAGGAGGCGCACCACAGCAATCAGGATGCCACGCACAAACGCAACAGGGAATATTTCTATATCTGCAAATAAATTTGATTTCCACCATGTGACCCACTCACGTACACGTGGTTCGATTTACTGGCCTACGACAAGAAGAAAGAGTCCAGCTTCAAATACTCGAAGCCTCCCCCTAATGCCCCGTAGAACCAGAAAAGCAGAAAATACAGCTAGCCTCAAAATAATGCACTGGAACTCGGAGGGAGTAAATACTAAGAAATTAGAATTAGAAAACGTCTTGAACGAAGAGAATATACATGTATGCTGCCTACAAGAGACGTATCTCAAACAAGATATGGCCTTTAAGATCAGAGGCTACCAGTGTTTCCGATCTGACCGCAAAGACAGGAGAAAAGGTGGAATTCTTACCCTGGTCAAAAATAACATCCTTGCGGGCCGGATCGAAACATACATGGAAGGTGCTGAGTATCAAACTCTTGAGCTCAAGTTGGAAAATACAGATTTACATCTGACCAACTATTACTGTCCGAGCGACCGCCCTCAGGCACTGGATACAGTACTAATAAATGAAAATATGATCATTTGTGGGGATTTTAATAGCCATTCCCAAAGTTGGGGCTACGATCATATGGACCAGAGAGGAGAGAAACTAGAGGACTGGCAGGATGAGAATAGGTTCATCCTCGTTAATAAGCCAACCGACCCACCAACCTTCTACTCTAGAGCATGGCATACCACCTCGACACCAGACCTAGCCTTTCATTCAGCAGACATGGAACTGAATGTTACCAGAACTGTTGGGAAGCAACTAGGAGGCAGCGACCACCGGCCAGTCTTTCTAACTATCGAAAGCCAGTCTGTAAGAGAGAGCAGCACACTGCCAAGGTGGAATTTTAAGAAGGCAGACTGGAAGTTATATCAGCTTCGCACAAATGTTCTGCTGGAAAATCTGAACACAGATAACGACGTAGACAAAGTAGTCCAAGAGTTGAGCAAACACATACTGCAGGCAGCCCTAGAAGCAGTTCCAAGAGGTGCGCGTAAACAATACAAACCGTACTGGAATTGCGATCTGGAGCAACTGCACAACAATATAGAAACAGAAAGAAAACAAGCTGAGACCAGACCTTGTCAAGAGCAGTTTAACAACTACCAACATTCAAAGGCCAAACTGCAGGCTAGACGGAGAAGCTGGCAGGAAAAGACAAAGTCTCTAAACTTTGAAAGAGACACAAGGAAGCTGTGGAGGTTAATTAAGCAAATTAATGATGAGAATACAGGAAGAAATGGTAATATTGCACTATGCAAAGAGGGAGCCATCCTAACAAGAAAACAGGCAGCTGACCACGTTGCAGATTCCTTTGCAGAAGACAGCAACATTAATGTCAGCCCAGAGAAACAGCGAGAGGTTCAAGAAAACAAACAACATACAAGACAAAAAGATATAATTCCTGAGGCACTGGTGGCAGCATTTACATCCAGCGAGTTAGAATTAGCAATATCAAAGCTGAAAATGGGAAAATCACCTGGAACTGATGGAATAACCAACGAAATGATCAAGAACCTTGGAACAACTGCCAAAAAAAAGCTGCTACAGATCTTTAATCATTGTTGGACAAGTGGCAAAGTTCCTCAAATATGGAGAGAAGCAATCACAATACCTCTGCTTAAACCAGGAAAGGACAGTTCTGATGCCTCCAGCTATAGACCGATCAGTCTTACCAGCTGCCTCTGTAAAACAATGGAACGTATTGTCAACCTTAGACTCCAATGGTACTTGGAAAGTGAAAACATTTTCACGCCGCAGCAGGCAGGATTTAGACAGTGCTACTCCACAGAAGACCAGACAACTTACCTTTCACAAGAAATTGAGGATGCCTTCCAGGAAAAGAAGCTAGTGCTAACGGCATGGATAGATATGAAGAAAGCCTTTGACAAGGTCTGGAAAGAAGGTCTTCTGAAGAAACTGAGAGACTGCGGGGTGAATGGGAGTATGTACAAATGGGTGAAAGCATACTTGTATAACAGAAGATCCCGAGTACAGATAGATGGACTTAAGAGTAAGAAAGTTTTGCTGCGCCATGGCGTCCCACAAGGAGGTGTCCTGTCCCCCCACACTCTTCCTAGTCTATATCAACGACCTGCTTTCTGAACTACCCCATGGAATTAAAGCTGCAATGTATGCTGATGACTTGGTACTCTGGTGTACAAATGAAAATGCGACAGTGGCCACCAGACTGCTACAAAGAGCCATAGATGCAATGGCTGATTGGGCCGACAAATGGTGTGTCAGCATCAATATAGGCAAATGCAGCACCACCCTCTTTACCCTTTCTCCTAAACAAAAATCAGGTGTCATGCACATAAATGGAGTACCCCTGAGAGAGGATAAGGAGCCCACATACCTCGGCGTAACGTTTGATGATAGATTAACATGGAGAAAACACATCAACAAGGCAGCAACCAAAGCCAGAAGGAGGGTAGCCATTCTGAGAAAACTAAGTGGAACCACATGGGGTGCTAGCGGGAAAATACTTAGGAAAGTTTACCAACAAAGTGTTCGACCACATCTTGAATACGGATCAACAGCATGGAGTTCGGCATCAAAAACCACATTGCAAGAATTAGATAAAGTGCAAAATCAAGCACTCAGAGTTACCACAGGCAGTATGAAATCAACACCTATAGCTGTGATGGAGAAAATGGGGATGACCCAAGCACTGAGTGAACGCAGAGACACCAAGATGCTTTTACAAGCAGAAAAGTTTCTTAGTATGCCCAGTCACCCTATGAATGAAAGATTCAAAAATTTAGCTTTGGGACGACTAAAGAGAAGTAGTTTTATCCACCAGGCCAAACGGCTCGGCAGACAAACCACTGATTTACCTGCAACTGATAGATCCTTAAATGCTGTCCCAGAACGGACCCCCTGGAGAGAGGAGTATAAGTTTCCAATACACATCAAGACTGAAGTGAAAGGGGTATTTGACAAGGAAGAACAAAACAGTGTGCAGCGCAAAACAGCCACCCTCAGTCTACTTGATGATGAATACCCGAAGAACCTTTGGGTCCGTGTTTACACAGATGGGTCAGCAGAAAGCGCAGTCAGAAACGGAGGTGCAGGAGTGTACATTGAGTATCCTAATAATACCAGGGATACAGCCAAATTACCAACGGGAAAGCACTGTCACAACTATGATGCAGAAGTTCAAGCCATCAAGATAGCGGTAGAGAAACTACTAAATATAGGGTATTTTTCACAACCAGTGGTATTCCTGACAGATGCAAAAGCAGTACTTCAGTCACTCCAGTCTGGAAAATTACCAAGCATACAGACACTATTATCCGAACTAGGCAACCGCTGTAAATTAGTAATGCAGTGGATACCTTCCCACTGTGGAGTTCCCGGAAACGAAAAAGCTGATAAACTAGCTAAGGAAGGTGCAACTGAAGAACAACCTGACATACCAGTCTCTTATCAACAGAAGAAGAGAATGATCAAATCAATCAGAATGCCACCGAAACTGGCACAAGATGATTACCATATTATGGACAGACCAGAGCAAGTCATTATCCTTCGCCTTAGAACAGGGCACAATCGACTTCACTCCCACATGTACAACAAATTTAAGATTGGCCAATCAGCCATGTATACTTGTGGACTGGCACCTGAAACAACAGATCACATCCTTCAAGACTGTCCCAGATTCAACGCTTTCAGGCAAAACCTTTGGCCAAAAGAGACACTTGTGGAAGTCAAACTTTACGGGCCGCTTAGTGAATTACAAAAGACAGTGAAATTCATACTAGAGACAGCTTTGCAGATATAGACAATTTATTTCATGCGAACGAAAAAAGAAGAAGAAGATTGTTTCTGAGATAATTGAGGCCAGGACTAAGATTGTGTCAAATAATTGAGGCCAGGACTAAGATTGTGTCTGAGATAACTGAGGCCAGGACTAAGATTGTGTCTGAGATAATTGAGGCCAGGACTAAGATTGTGTCTGAGATAATTGAGGCCAGGACTAAGATTGTGTCTGAGATAATTGAGACCAGGACTAAGATTGTGTCTGAGATAATTGAGGCCAGGACTAAGATTGTGTCTGAGATAATTGAGGCCAGGACTAAGATTGTGTCTGAGATAACTGAGGCTAAGACTAAGCTTGTTGCTGAGATAATTGAGGCCAGAACTAAGCTTGTTGCTGAGATAACTGAGGCCAGAACTAAGCTTGTTGCTGAGATAATTGAGGCCAGGACTAAGCTTGTTGCTGAGATAACTGAGGCCAGGACTAAGATTGTGTCTGAGATAATTGAGGCCAGGACTAAGGTTGTTTCTGAGATAATTGAGGCCAGGACTAAGGTCTTTGCTGAGATAATTGAGGCCAGGACTAAGCTTGTTTCTGAGATCATTGAGGCCAGAATTAAGCTTGTTTCTGAGATCATTGAGGCCAGGACTAAGCTTGTTTCTGAGATAATTGAGGCCAGGACTAAGATTGTTTCTGAGATAATTGAGGCCAGGACTAAGATTGTTTCTGAGATAATTGAGGCCAGGACTAAGATTGTTTCTGAGATAATTGAGGCCAGGACTAAGCTTGTTGCTGAGATAATTGAGGCCAGGACTAAGATTGTGTCTGAGATAATTGAGGCTAGGACTAAGATTGTTTCTGAGATAACTGAGGCTAGGACTAAGGTTGTTTCTGAGATAATTGAGGCCAGGACTAAGCTTGTTGCTGAGATAACAGGCCAGGACTAAGGTTGTTTCTGAGATAATTGAGGCTAGGGCTAAGGTTGTTTCTGAGATAATCGAGGCCAGGACTAAGATTGTTTCTGAGATAACTGAGGCTAGGACTAAGGTTGTTTCTGAGTTAATTGATGCCAGGACTAAGGTTGTTGCTGAGATAATGAGATAATTGAGGCCAGGACTAAGATTGTGTCTGAGATAATTGAGGCTAGGACTAAGCTTGTTGCTGAGATATCAGCTGAGATAACAGGCCAGGACTAAGGTTGTTTCTGAGATAATTGAGGCCAGGACTAAGATTGTTTCTGAGATAATTGAGGCCAGGACTAAGATTGTTTCTGAGATAATTGAGGCCAGGACTAAGATTGTTTCTGAGATAATTGAGGCCAGGACTAAGGTTGTTGCTGAGATAATTGAGGCCAGGACTAAGGTTGTTGCTGAGATAATTGAGGCCAGGACTAAGCTTGTTGCTGAGATAACTAGGCCAGGACTAAGGTTGTTGCTGAGATAATTGAGGCTGACAGAGAGCACAGATGCCAAACAGTAATATTCAGTGCTGCTTCTGGTTTATAGTTCACAAAGCATACTATTGTCTATTTTAAAAAGTATGGATGTAGCATGATTTGGTCCTTAGCATAAATGTATCCTTCTTGCAGTGATGTACATGGACCAACTAATTTAGCTTCCTAGTCAGTTAGTAGCATGTCCTTTGCAGAACCTTGCTACCATAACAACCCTCCGGAAAACTTTTCGATCACAAACAAGATGTCTGATACACCCACCTGGAGATCATCCACCACATCCTGCACCTATCTTCTCTTTGGTCTTCCTCTTCCTCTCTTCCTAGGCATATACCCCTACATCATTGTTCTCTCCAAACTTTTGTGACCTTTCAAGTGACCAAATTATTTCAATTTTCTGTGTTTTCTCATCCTTAATAGCCATCCTTCTTGCCTATTTAGTTCTTGATGTATGGATGTTTTGTTCGTTTCTTTAGAACCCATTCTTAGAACCTGTCTATAACATTTGTATTCAAAGGCATTTATGCGCCTTTCAGCTTGTTTAGTAAGCTTCCTATTGCTTAAAAAAATCTAACCAGGATTTTTCAGGAAAAAATGGATTGCAACACTAAGCACTTCATGAATATCTGCCCTAACTTTCATCTTTGTGCCAGGTCATTGAGGTGTTCAAGGGAACGAGCGTGCAGACTATCTTGCTGACACTACAGTTGCTATGGCTGGTCCAGTACTGGCAGAAATGATGTTATCAATGCCATGCGCTGCACTTACCCTACCGAGGAGCACGTCAAAGGACATGACGCCGTATCCCTGTCTAGACAGATGGACATGGGGGTGCAGCCTGGAGCTGCAAGAAATGAACATTTCACTAAGGGGACAAGATGTTTTATTAACCAACACAGAACAGGCGTCATCAGTCATTTTACACCTGTGGAGCTTTTGAGAAAGAGATCGGAGCACCTATGAATCTGTCCGTATGGATCTGACGACACTGTCATCAGTGGGCCATGAGTATCTTCTCCCATGCTGGGGCCCATGAACCCACACAAGAAATTTTAACCACCAACAAACCACAAGAGGATGTTATCAAGACTTTAGTCCATCAAAAGCAGGTTGTGGAGAGGCATGATTGCCCATGCCATTTGACAAGCCATTCAGTGATGATGATATTGGTGGGGGGGGGGGGGGGGGTCTTTTCAGATATTGAATATTAATGTTTGTCTAATTCTGTTGATAATTAAACAGATTATACACGTTGAGTTGTTGCTCTCCTTTGCAGTATTAATACATTAAATGAATATTTATGTTCTTGTAATGTACAGTGTAATCTTTTTCTGCAGTTAGCCTACTTACTTACTTAGTCCCTCCTCTTCTACTTTGAGGTGTAGAGGTTTGCCAGAGAGATCGCCAGACTTCTCTGTCAGCAGTTTTCTTTCTGGATTTGTTCCATTCCAGTCCTGTCAGTCAGGGGCTGCCGGACCCTGGGTCACCCCAGGGGTCTGGTTCCCTGGTTCTTAGCCTCCCACGGTGACCAATTTTCTCCCATTCTGTATACATGTCAGACCATTGTAATTGTGACTGATCTACCCGAGTTTGTACGGCCTGGGTTTCAAGATCTTGACGTATTTTCTGATTGCATACTTTGTCCATTCTTGTCACTTGGACCACCCTTTTTTTTTCTCTCAGGATATCTCACTTCTGTGGCCTAGAGCTGGCTTCTGTGAGCTGTTGTCATTCCCCATGACTCACAACCCATAGGTCAGGACTGGAACATAGGTAGAGCAGTAAACGGTAATTTTTGTCCTCTTGCCAATTTTTCTTTTTGCTAAGAAACCTTAAGACAGTAATGGAAGCAAAACTTACAAACAAGGAAAAACATTTAACAGGAAATGGTTGTATTAGGGGGAAGGATGGACAAATTATTGTTGATAAGAAAGATATAATAAAAAGATGGACTGAATACACAGAAGACCTGTTTTGTGACAACAGAGGTGACAAACCGCCAATCCATAATTTTCAAGAGGGGCCAAACATTTTAAAGTCTGAAGTAGAGAAAGCCATTAAACAGATGAAGCAGACAAAAGCTGCAGGTCCAGACAACATAACTTCAGAAATGTTAAAATCATTATCTACTTTTGGAATCTATACTATCACAGAAATATGCAATGACATTTATAACTATGGGTACATTCCCAGGGACATGAAAACATCTGTTTTTATCACAGTACCCAAGAAATCAAAAGCTGTTGATTGTGAAGATTACAGAACTATTAGCCTAAGGAGTCATGTAACTAATTTACTCTTGAAGATAATACAAGCAAGAATTCAAAATAAAATAGAGAAAGAAGTTTCCGAAGAGCAATTTGGATTCCATAAAAAACAGTGGTACTCGAGAGGCCATAATTTGTCTAAAGATGCTGACTGAAAAATATATAGAAGTTCAGAAAAATATTTATGCATGTTTTATAGATTACAAAAAAGCTTTAGACAGAGTGCAACATGAACAACTAATTGCAGCTCTTCAAAACATAGGACTAGATGGAAAGGATATCAGACTTATTAGAAACTTATACTGGGAGCAAGAAGCAACAGTAAGATATGACAACATCTGCTAACCCCAGATAGAGATCAAGAGAGGAGTAAGACAAGGATGTGTGCTGTTGCCTAGCCTTTTCAACTTATGTACAGAAACCATTTTTAAAGACATTGTAGAATTACCAGGACTGAACATCAATGGTAGAATAATAAACACATCTGAGATATGCTGACGACACAGTGTTGCTAGCAGAGAGTGAGCAGGAGTTGCAAGACCTAGTGGAGCAAGTAAACAGAAGGAGTGCAGAATTTGGATTAGATATAAATTTGAAAAAGACAAAAACCGTGATATTTAGCAAAGAAAATAATCAGCTAACCATGACATGATGTGGATATACAGAAGATTAGGTCGTATTTCATGGAAACAAAAGCTATCAAATACAGAGGTATTGAGGAAATTGGGAAGGAAAAGAGAGTTGCTAGGTGAAATAAAAAAGAGACAAGTGAAATATTTTGGTCACATTAAAAGACATAACAGTATTGTAAAGATTATCCTAGAGGGGAATGTTCAAGGTATGCGAGCAAGAGGCAGACAGCAGTATGAGTGAATGTACAACACGGGCAAGAGACGGCTTGTTGGAGATCCGTTGCAGCCAACCTTCATTGTGGAGACGGCACCTGATTGATTGAAGAAACCCTCGGTGTATGGCCTGGAAAAGTCTCACTGCAGGTGCTATTTGAGTAGCTGGCTCTGTGTTAAACTACTTGTAATTTAGATACCAGAATTACGAAGAAAAGTTGAATCCTAAATTATCTTCTTCTTTTGTCAATAGCTGCTTATGCTGCTAGGCACAGCAGTTCATCAAACCATCGGCAGCCGTGCCAGGGCGCGCTCAGTCGCTTGATATGCTCTGATGGTATGCAGTCTCAAGATGTTAGTGACTCCTTTAATCCATATTCTTCTCAGTCTTCCCCTGCCTCTTGATGCTTTGATTTTCAGGTTGTACGCTCTTGCTGCTGGCATTGTTGGTTTCATTCTCATTAGATGACCAAACCATTTCATTCTTTGTTTCTCAATAAATTTGATTATGGGTGTTGCTCCAACAGTTCTTGTGATCACGCCGTTTCTCACTCAATCTCTTCTGGTTTTACTCACAGCCATTCTCAAACATCTCATCTCACCGGTGGTTAGTTTTCTTTTGCGTTATTTGTTAATGTCCAGTTCTGACATTGATAACCTAAAGTTGTTATAAATATTATATTTATAATTTGTCTCTATTGGGATAGCGGGTTGTTTTAAAATTGGAGCATGTTGGTACGTGATATTGTTGGCTTATTAGATTCTAATTTTTATCTGTCTATTTTACCATTGTGTGTAAAGATGCTTCCCAAGTATTTGAATTCTTACACTTGTTTCAGACTTGGATCTTTGATCCTTATGTCGATGGTTTGTTGCTCTAAATTATATCCTAAATTGTATTCACATAAATTAGTGTTGACACCTTCCAGGTGACAATTCATTTGACTGAGACTCCCACAAATAACAAAAATTCAAAGAATGTAGATATCTCAATAAAATATAAGTAATAAAAGTGTGTGTGTATACACAGTTATATAATGCCCATGGACTTTATTGGCTGTCACCCCCCTCCCCTCCTCAAAAGAATGAAACAATTGAAAATGTCACAAACCTTGAATGTGAAGGCTCCATGAAAAACAGCAGAGACTGTTCAATTGAAGTCAAAAGGGGATGGCTCTAGCAATACAAAAATTAAATAGCATTAAAAGTCTATGGTTAAGCACCAGCAAGGAAATCAAAATTACAATTCTGAGAGC